TTTTTTTTTTTTTTTTGAGACAGGGCCTCAGTAGGCAGTTCAGGCTGGCCTTGAGCTCACTTTGTCGCCCAGGCTGGCCTCAAACTACAGCGATCCCCCTGCCTCAGCCTCCCAAGTGTTGGGATTACAGGTGTGTGCTACCACACCTGTTCCCAGACTTTTTTATATTGAGATAGGATCTCACTAAATTGTCCATGCTGGTCTCACACTTGCAGTCCTTCTGCTTCAGTCTTCTGAGTAGCTGAGATTACAGGAGTGTGTTATAGTGCTTGGCTAGAGTTTTTTAATTTTTTTTTTTTTTTTTTTTTTTTGAGACAGGGTCTCCCTGTGTAGTTTACACCGGCTTTGAATTCACTATGTAGCCCAGGCTGGCCTCAAACTTACAGTGATCCTCCTGCCTCAACCTCCTAAGTGCTGGGATTACAAGCGTGTGTCATCATGCCTGGCCCATTTCACCTTTCTGTAACCTGGGGGTGACCATAGTACTTTCCCCATGGGGCTGTCATGAGGATTAATGTGTGTTCACTTAAGTCAAGTGCTGTGCACCTGGCACATGGTACATGCTCAACTCTGACTGGGTAGTTGTAACATCGGTCCCTTGCTGACCCTGAGAGGAGATGGCATCCCTTTAGGGAGGCCTGCATTTAGGCCATGGGAGCCTGGAGGGTTTAGTGACATTGAGGTCTTCTCTGTGCCAGACACAAGTGACACAGGGAGAAATCTACACTCTTGTTTTTGGGCACATTCCATGGAGAAGCCTAACACTGCTGTGGATGTGCTGTGTGGGAAGCAGGTGAGATGGCTGCGGGGGGTTGGGGGTTGTAACAAATAACATTTATTGAGCACCTGCTGTGTACCAGCTCTGCTACAGTGTTTTACACACACTGTGTCGTTTTATCCTTCCAAGAGCATGCTTTATAACACAACAGGGCCGGGGATATAGCTCAGTGGCATAAGCACCTGCCTGGCAATCGAAAGGTCCTGAGTTCGATTGCCAGTACCAAAACAAAACAAAACAAAACAAAAACAAAAACAAAAACAAAAACAAAAACAAAAAAACATGACAACCACTATCTGCATCTCAGAGATGCCACACAGGTTCAGAGCGGGTTGACCAGCTGCCCCTACGTGCCAGGGAATTGTGTGGAAGGAAGTGTGCCTGAGCCAGGGGCCCAGAGACCAAGGGGACCACCCTGCATTTGATCCCCACAGGGCCACACAATGATGGGTTTCCTGGTGCAGAGAACTCTGTGATGAGTGTGTGTCCAGGCGCACATGTGTCCCAGGGAACCAGTGTGGGTGAGGCCTGCCTGGGTCCCAGAGTAGGACCCCACCCAGGGGTGGCCTGCAGACCAGGTGGGTGAGGCTCAGGGCAGACCTGACCATGCATGGGCAGGGCTAGCAGAAGGGACAAAAAGCGCTGCTGTGGGACTGGGGTGGCCCTGGAGTCCCAGCAGGGCACAGCCCATGGGGGACCCCCACTGAGCCATCTGTGCTGCTTGACCCTAGAACTGCACCACCACCCCACCACCACCACCCCCCACCCCCGTGCCACCATGCCACAATGATGACCCTGACTACCTCCACTCTCCAACTGGGAAGCAGAGGGGCTGGAGACTGTCTGTCCTGTGGGGCGGGGCACCTCTACCTTCCCAACCCCCTTGTCCCCCCCTAGCCTCCCGCACACAATTAGCTGCTCTTGTCTAATTGATTCCTTTGGTACTTGCAGGACAATTAGAATTTAAATTGCGTTTTACAAAGGTCACAAAAACACGATCAAAGAAGAATCTATTAAAGGGGCTGGACCCTCCTTCTCAGGCTCCCACAGTCTAGGGTGGAACTTGGGTTTCCAGAAGCCCCCGCCTTAGGAGCCTCATTACCTACTCTGGGGTGCTTCAGTCACCCCATGTCTCCTCCAAGGCCTCCCGGTTCCCTGTGCTAAAGGGGAAGAGAAGGCAAAGCCCCACTCTTGCTCCCCCATACTCATTGTCTGCACCCCTTTGGCTGATGCTCCCCCAGCCCCAGATGGCTTGGCTTGTCCCGCTGGGCCTAGACCTTCTGCACACACGGCCTGCTTGGAACCCCGGTGGTCTTGTCTATGAAATACAGCTGGCTCAGTCTGCTCCCAAAGGGTGGACGGCTCCCTGTGGTCAAATCTGTGCCCACATCTACCTATGCTTGGGAGTCTGTGTATCCGCTGGGTCCTGCAGCCCTGACTGTGACCCTCCCCTGGCCTGTCCCTCCTACTGTCCCCACCTGGGGGCCAGGGGCAGAGCCTGCCCACTCCTTCCACGAGCTCCACTGCAGCCTGCAAGGGGCTGGACACCCAGGGCCGAGGCTCAGGGCACTGCCCAGCTGCCAGGCAGTAGAGCCGGCTTGCAGGGGACTCAGGCTGGGCAGGAACTGCTGGGGCTTCAACTTTCTGGTGCATCCAGTGGGCTGAGCAAGGTCTCTGGCCTTTCTCCTGACTCAGGTTCTTGGTCTGGGGTCAGCTCTGGGGGTTACCGCTGGTGGAGGCTGGACTGGAGCCTCCCTTGGGCAGCTCAGGCTCTAGGTGCAGCCTGGCCGGCCCAGTTCCTGGAGTTGGGAAGCCTGGGCTGGGAGAGGCCAGGAGGAGCCCGGGATCCAGGACACCTCCTCTCAGCCCTAGCCCCACCCAGCGACTGCCCTGGGAAGTGTTGGCCATGCCTGTTCTGCCAGACTGGCCACAGGAGAGGAGAGAGGTGAGCTGAGTATTTTCTCCATCTGGGTGGCTCTCCTCTGAGACTCACACCGCTGGTGACTCCCCAGACCTCAGAAAGGCAGCAGTGTTCACTGAGCACGCAGATGTGCCAGTCCCTGGGCTGGACACTTAGAAAACAGCTCAGAGAGGCAAAACATCTTGCCTAAGGTCACACATCAAGGGGTGGACAAGGCTAGGATTCAAACCCAGCATTGGCCAGTTCTAAGAGAAGCCTTGACTCAGCCCTGTGGCTGGTGCTGCTTGACAAGGGCACCCCAGGTGACCAGATGTCATCTCCTCTGCTTGCTGGGGAGGACGGAGTCTGGGTGCTTTGGGGAGAGAGTGCAAGGAATCTGTATTCCTCCTACTCCATGGCCCCAAGGTCAGGAGACATCATCAGCCCTCATTTAGAGCCTGCAGAGCCCTGGGTGGGAGGATTATGTGGATAATCCAGCCGATCACCCAGCCTTAGGACTTCATTTGGATGCAGAGGAAGCTGTAGCGTGACCCAGGCAGAGACAGTGCAGTCAATGAATGCCTGGCCCCTGACCTGCAGCAGGGTCAGCGGACGCCTCTGCAGAGGAGAGGCAGAAAGGGCGGCGGCTGGCTCAGGGCCATGGAGGGCGAGCCCACCCTTCCGCCTGCAGCCAGCCAGCTTAGAGACCCAGTTTTCTCACCTGTGGGCCTCAGAGTGAGAGGCCAGGGTTGCAGGGAGGGGGTCTTACCTGGGACACTCAAATGTAGGGCGTCTGCTCTGACCCACCATCTGGGTGGGGCTGGGCATCCAGCCAGACCTGAAGAACAAGAAATCTCTAAGGCTATCCATCCCACAGGCCCAGGCAAGCAGCCACAAAATTGTTGTGACAGCAGTAGGTGAATTAAGTGCCACCAGAGCCAGGCAGGGCAGGTTTGCTGAACCGGGATTTATAGCCTCCCCGCCCCATTTACTGCCCGGTCAGCCTGGCCCTCCCAGCCTTGGCCCCAATATCTCCTGTACTGAGGGGAACCAGCGGGTGCTGCCAAGCCAGGGTCACAGGAATAGGGGCCTCCAGAAGTGGGGTCCTGGAGTCACACCACTGCCTGCCTCAGTCTCCAGGACTACCCAAGGCCCGGGGAGGGCATGAAGACATGTGGGGGCCTGCTCTAGCCTCTGGTCCCCGACAAGTCAACCATGATCCTGTTTGGGTCTCTGCCTGGCCTGCAACCCTGAGGGCCCCAGCTGGCTAGGATCCAGCCTCAAGTGTTTCCCCCAGCACTTACTGTGTTCCTTACCTTCTCCCATGCTACCTGGGACAGGTGGGGTCACCTGTCCCTGCCCTCAAGGCAGCCATTCCTCATGTGGGTTGGGCAGCCGCATTAATGTGCCAGAATTTAAGGTCAGTCACATTAGGGGGAGACACAGCTTGGAGCCTTTCATCCCAGAAACCACTGACCTGGATGCCTCAAGATGTTTGTTTGAAACAAACAGAACATCAATAATAAAGACCAAGGCTGCTGTTATTATACAAACTAAAACACGTGGGACGCTGAGGCATCCTTGACTAACTTGGCCTTCAAAATGATTTGGCCTTGGACTCCCAGCCCCATAGGGACCTTTGACTGAGGACACCTAAGCAAGGTAGCACTCCAAGCCATCCCAACCCCTGGTCCTCAGCAGATCTGTGCCCAGGCCATCAAGAGGACTGCTATTGCCCAGTGCTTGTGCTGAGTACCTCCTTGTCACTTTAGTCAAAGAGAAGAGTGATTTGTGGGTGGCTGGTGACCACTGCCCAAACAATAAAGTCCCATCCAGTCCTTGAGCAGGGACACTGGTGGTTCTGGGGAGTCCCACACATATCAGGGCATCAGCAGGGCCACACAGCACCCAGACTGCACCCCTTGGGGGTGGCTCTTCCTGGCTGAGTTACCAGAGACCCTGGGGCTTGAGTTCTTAGTGCTCAGCTTTCCCTGCACTCAGTGCCCAGGCCCAGGGGTATCAGTAGAACCTTGCCCATTCCCACTGCCTGGCCTCTGCTCAAGCCACTGCTCCTGCCAGAGGAGACACACACACACACACACACACACACACACACACACACACACCATCTCCACTTCTGCTGATCCTCTCTGTCTACTGGGGCCCAGATCCGATGGGCCTCACCCTGCTAGATGTGGAGCCTGGGCCATCCCCTCAGTCGATAGGGGCTGGTGTGGGAAGGCACACTCTAGACACCCCTTTGGCCATGTTGGGTCATCCCTGGCCGAATCTGTAGAATGGCGAGAGCAGCCCGGCCCACCTCCCTGCTCCCCAGCTCGTACTCTGAACGCTAGGGATCTCAGGGTTAAGAAACAACAGCCGCCCAGAAGGATGGAGCAGGGCAGCCCGGAGCGGAGCAGAGGAATTCAGATGCGAGGGCGGCATGTTGAGTCAGGGCGGTCTCGGAGCCAAGTGGAGGTGCAGAGGGGAGAGGAGAGTGTCCTGCCTGTGCTGGGGACCCTGCACGGCGAAAGGCCTGCAGGTGCAGCCAAGGGGCCTATGCCAGGGGGAGTGATGGGGCCGTGTACATCTGGTGTATCTGCGTGTGCATGCATGTGCATAGTGTATTCTGTGGTTGTCACGTATGTAACATGCAAAATAATGCATGCACGGGTGCCTGTGTGTGAGCATGCGTGTGTATCTGTGCACATGTCATGTCCAATGTGCGCACATGAACATGTATAAATGCATAAAAGCGTATGTGGCATGTCTAGTATTGTGTGGATGTGCAGGGAATGTGCATGTATGTGAGAGATATGTGTTCTTGTGCCTGTCAAACCAAGCCCTCTTGTCCATCACTCTTAGCCCTGGGCCCCTACTGCCCACTATTGTCCCCAACAGTTGCAAAAGGACAATGTCCACAGCCCCCAGCTGGGCCACATCCCTCCAGGCAGCAGCTGGCCCCTCTCCCCTGTCTCTCCCGGACTGGTTCAAGATGAGCCAAGAACCTGGGGTGTGGGCATCCCAACTCCCTCTGGACACCCTACTCCTCTTCAGCTAAGGACTCCAAAGCACAGAGCACTGGGATGCCCCAATCCTGTGCCCTGAACACCCCTCTCATTAGATCCCTTTGCTGAGAGGGCCCTGGTCTCTGCCCAGAAAGGGCAAAAGAGAGACTGGGGAGACATTAGGAAATGATGGGCATCCAGGAGCCATGCAGGGTCCCCAGGGCGTTCACACACCCCCAGCTCAGGGTGGAACAAGTCATGTGTCCTCCTGGGGCCACTGCCCTTCAGTGACTGCCCATCCTTCCAATCCCCGGCAGCCACAGACACAGGAAGAAGAGGACACAAGGAGACAGAGGGTCACCTTGCCTGGCTGCCCTTGCCCTGGCTGCTGTCCCCGGAGGCCACACTCTATTCTGGGACAATGTGCTTGAGCAGAAAGGCTTCAATGCTCTTGTGATTTCATCCCAACTTCAGGGCTCCCTCTGGGGGCCAAAACCCCTGTCCTCCTCCACCTGCTTCCCTGGCCCTGAGACTTCCTACAGCTCATTACCAGGCACACTGGTGGACAGCAGAGAAGCCAAGGAGGCCTTGCCCAGAGATGGAGGACAGATAGAAGGGGGCAACTAGGCCCTGGTTTGGGGTGTCCCTCATGGGATAGGGAGCGCACAGCACACAGATGAGCACATAGATGGGGGCATGAGTGGGAGAAGATTTAGGCCCAGGGAGTGGAGCACAGGACAGAGCTCCCAAGAGCCTGAAGATGCAGCCAGCGGGAGCTTCCAGAGCTGGCTGCCCCGCCCTGCCTGTAGGCAGGGACAAAATTCTCTAGGACAGCGGAAAAGACAGCATCCTGGGCAGCAGGAGGGGGCTGTGCTGGCTGACTCAAGTGGGTAGAGCTGGACATCAAAGCCTGGAGACATTCCCAGGATACTGGCCCTCCCTTCCTCAGAGAGATAGATGTCCCTTTGATAGAGGGAAAAAAGAATGTTATATAGTGCAGGTGGAGGCGGGACGGGGAGAAAAGTCCTCTCCCGACAGCCACCCAGGGATCCAGAGGGCTCATCGCAAGTGTCAAGTCTGCTGCTTCCCACGAGCTGAGAAGTCAAGTCCTCTGGGGTGTCTTTATCTACTAAGGGGATGCGCAGGAGCTTGAGGTCAGGGTTCCACTGTAGGTCACTGTCCAATGGGCTGAACGGGAAGACTGTCCTGCCAGGGTGGGACAGCTGCATTCTGCAGAAGCCAGAGTAGCAAGGGCCTAGGTCCTGTGGCCATCTCACTCTGCCTTCTGCTGCCTCTAGGTGTCTTGTGGTGTCTTGGGGCGCACGTGCCCTGGCCCCTGCGGCTTCCCTTTCCCTCCAACAAGGATGAGCCTGCTGCCTAGAAGCCCTGGGCATACCTGGGCTCCACCTCTCCCAAGTCCCCAGGGTGTCCCTATCTGGTGTGCCTGCCTGCATCCCCCCACTAGGCCTCATGATGCCTTCATAAGGATTGGCATCCATGTCTCAGACTACATGTGCCATCCAGGGTGGGTACAAGGTGATGATGCCCCAGAGCTGTCCAATGAAGCCTGGACCAGAGATAGCAAACCATTTAGAGCTTTCAATGATAACAAACATCTGGCTGTGGCGTGTGTGCCATAGGTTCACCACCACTGGCCTAAACTCTATCCCTGCCCCTCCTCTCTGTGGTCCAAACCTGCTGTCTGTCATCACAACACCCAGCCCACGGCTTGGGTTCCAGGTCCTCCTAGGAGAGGGTCTGGCTCCCTCCAAAATAGCAGCCAGGAAGGACAGTCTGGGACCACGTAGAGCCTCCTTCTCTCCACAGCTGCTGCCTACAGAGGCACCGTTGGGGTGGCCACAGCTCAGTACGGTCTGGGTGGGTACCCAGGAGGATTCTGTGGAAAGAGTGTCCTTGTGACCAGCCACCCAGCTGGAGCAGAAGATATGGCTGGTATTCCAGCTCCAGGCCAGCAGGACACATCCTGGAAATGTCCCCGTCCAAAGTTCCACAGGCTCCGAAAGCGACAGGCCTCTCTGGGCATCGTAATCCTGGCTCTGTGGAAAGGACCTTGTTGCAGAGGGGCTCAGTGTGCCCTCTGCCCACATCCTTAGGAAGGCACGATCTCCCTAGTGCCGATATCTCACCAGCTGGGGCTGTGGGACTCTCTAGCCAGCACCCCAACTCTGCTGTGCCGGAGCACCTGTCCTGACTCCTGACTTGGTACCATTAGCAACCCAGGCTCTGCCCATGCCTTTCTCCACATGCCCTGGAGGCCAGACTGCTCCAGGGACACCTGGCTAGCCTCTTTGTTCTTCCTACAAACAAACTGGCAACCTACACTATCCACAGCTGCTCCCAACCACGCACAGACCCGGGAGGGGCAGAACCCAAGCAGCACCCTCATTCTCTCCAGACTCCCCAGGCCCAGGTCCCACCTGCAGCAGCTTGGGGCAAAACCCAGTCATACCCTGGGGACATGGCCCTGACCCCCTTGGGAAAGAAAGTGGGAAATAAAATAGGTGAAGGAGGGAGGGATCCCAGAAAATAAATTCCCAAATCTCATCTGTGACGGCAATGTCCCAACAGCCACCTCTGATGTGGAAAAATAAAAGTTCCTACCTTGTTTTCTTCACCCTCTCTTTCTGAACGATTTGACGTTTTATTCCTCCCATCAAACTCTCTATTCTCTGCTAATGGCAGAATAATAAAAAATTATCCCTCATAGCGTGTGAGTGAGAGGCCAAGCCGGGAGCCCGGGAGAGGGAGGAAAGAGAGGAAGAAAAAGGTTATTATAAACGTGTCAGCCTTGTTTATGGCCCTTTATCAGCCAGGGAGAGGAGGGAGGGAGGGGTGTCGTCAGCGCACTTTAAAGCGCTGCCAGCTTGGTTGGGGAGTGTAAATAATTTTTATTTTCAGCTGCATTTAGATATTTTAAAATACACACCCGCCAGCAATTGTAGGGAGCCAGCTCAGCCTGCTGGGGCACAGCGGCTGGGGATGGCCTGCCTTCCAGCCCCTTTGATGGGGCTATGTGACAATCAGGGCTTTCAAAAGCAGGGTTTGCTGATAAAGCTTTCTTGCTGGGGAGCTAGGGAGATAGCGAGCCTGGTCTAGTGGCTGCCAGACTCCTCAGCTGGCTGGCCAGGGCTAATCTGACAGGGCTGGACAGAATGGGTGAGGTGGCACAGGTGCCTGGTGTCCTTCCCGATAAGGGCATGGCCAGTCTAGGCCAGCATGCCATTCCCACACTGCCAGACACATCTCCATCATGAGCTTCGGACTGCTTCACTTCAGACCCTCATATTTTGTACACATGTTGGTCCCCAGGCAACATGTATTGGGCACTTATTGTGTGCTGGGATCTAAGGGCTCAAGGGCAGTGGAACATAGAGAGATCATCTGGCTTAACTTGTCTTTGATCTACAGTCCTTCTTGACCTTTAGTGTGTGCCCAGAGGTGAGTCATGCTGTGTGACCTTAGCAAGTAGTTCCCAAGGGCTTAGGGTCCATTGGGAAGATAACAATAATACTAACCGTGTGGTCATGGGTATAAAAACAAGATGAGTACAAAGACTTTGCTATCCAACACCCAGGGAGCTCCTACTTAACAGTGTCTCTTGTCACTGGTTGTGTACTGCAGTAAGAATATTAAATTCTACCAGAAACCCCCACACATTGTGTAGCATGACCAGCACAGAGGCCAGGATGGAAGGGAGGCTACAGGAAGCCCAACCCTGTCCTCTGGGGGTGCCTAGGATGTGAAACAGACGGACTGTGCATGCAGCAGGTGCAGCTTATGGGGGCAGGGATGGGGGCGCAATCAGGTGTCCCTGGGTAGACCGGGAGAAATGGGAGGGGCCTGGCTTGGATGTTGAGGAGGGGGAGGTCAGAGGCCAGATGGCCTGAGGACCTCTCCAGGCTGGTCCCTGGCTTGGAAATTAATGCCTATGGAAGTTGGAAGTGTGGCCAGCACCTTACCAACCCCTGAGTCTTGGAGCTCTTATCTCTCATGCCCATCAGTCACCGTCTACCATCTGGTAGACGCTGGGGACACCTCCCATGCCCTGTGTGTCCTCCGGAGTCACAAGGCTGATACTTGCAGACAGCAAGCATGGCCAAGCCAATACTAGAGCCACATTCCCAGGCCTACCACTCTGCTGATCATGGGAGAGTGAGCCCTCGAACCCTTTCCACTGGTTCCTCCTTCTGATTAGAGATGTGCATAGCTGGAAGGACAGGAGATACCAGACCAAAGGGTAACTGGATGTTTGGGCCAATGTGCTGAGAAAGCCTTTTCTGGGGTCTGTGGACCAAAAGCAAGAGGAGTAGGAGACAGGGAGAAGTAGGGGCCAGGAGGGAGAGCCAGAAGATGAGGCCACTGTACCTTTCTCCCTCCCTTGTCATTCCTGCAGTCAATCCTACAGATGCAACGTCCTCTGCTGAGCCTGGCCCTTGACACACTCACAGTTCCAAGAACAGACAGGCGTAGCAGACAGAACTAGGCAGGTGTGACACATGGTGGTCAAGAGTGGCGAGGGGAGGTGGGCATCAGGGAAAGAGGCACAGAGCAGCAGAAGCTTGAGTGGCTTCAGAAGCAGCACAGACAATTCCCAAGCAGATTATGCATGGAACAAACTCCATGCATGAACAAATCCTGGGAGCCTGTGGCCACACAGCTCCCTGCAGGGAGTGTAAGACTATGCTGTAGAGTTGACTTAGTGCCACCAACAGTGAGCTAAGGAGTAGCTGATCTAAGGGGATTAATGTGACTTGAAACAAGGGCTCCCCTAGTCAGATGTATATGGAAAACACCAGAAGCAAGAGCACAACGTAGAAGATCAACATACAACAGTCAATAGTACTTCTTTTTTTTTGGTTTTTCTCTGGTACCAGGAACCGAACTCACGACCTTGCGCTTGCCAGAGTCAATAGTACTTCTATACACTGACAATAAACAGGAAAATTAAGAAAACAATATAATTTTCACTAGCTTCCAAAAGAATAAAGTACTTAGGAACAAATTTAACCAAGTTTCCCCTGGACACTGCAAAACATTCTATAAGAAATTAAAGAAGATTGAAATAAATGGAAAGACATCCCATGTTCATGGATTGAAAGACAATATAGTCAAGAGTACAATACTCCACAAATTGATTTATAGATTCAATGCAATCTCTGCCAAAATCTCAGATGGCTTTTGAAGAAACTGACAAGATCATCTTAGAATTTTTATGAAAATATAAGGGATTGCTGGTAGAAATGCAAAATGGTAAATGCAAAATGGTACAGACAGTTTGGTGATTTCTTACCTTCTGATTCAGCAGTTGGGCCCTTTGGTAGTTGCTCAAATGAATTGAAAATTTATGTCTATGCAAAAGCCTGTACATGGATGTTTACAGCCTCTTCGCCTTTAATTGCTAACACTTGGAGGTCACCAAGATCTCCTTCAGTAGTTAATGGATGAACTGTTATACAACCAGACAATGGAATATTTTTTAGTGCTAAAAAGAAGTGAGCTGTGAAGCCATGAAAGAATATTGAAGAACATTAACTGCATATTACAAGTGAAAGCACCTAATCTGAAAAAGCTATATACTATATGCTTCCAATGACATGGCATTATTCTGGTAAACCACAGAGTTGGTGCCTGCCAGGGACCTGGGAGAGAGAGGGATGAATCAGTAGAGCAAAGAGGCTTTTTAGAGCAGTGAAACTATTCTGTATGGCACTATGATGGTAAACATATGTCATTGTCAAAACTCAGAATGGACATCACTGAGAGTGAGCCCTTAGCAGAAATTATGTGGGATGTGGGTGATAATGATGTGACAATATGGGTTCATTGATTGTAAAAATAACAAACGTGGGGTTGTTAATGATAGGGAAGGTTGCCTGTGTGTGACAGGTTATATGGGAACTCTATACTTCGGCTCAATTTTGCTGCAAACTTAAAACTGCTCTAACATATAAAGGCTATATAAGAGACCCAAAATAGCCAAAACAACTGTCTTGGTTACTTTTCTCTTGTTGCTGGGACAAAATACCCAACACCCAAAATGAAGGAAGGAAAGATTTATTTACCTTACAGTTTGTGGAGGTTTCAGTCCATACTTGGCTGGCTCCGAGGCAGAAGGTAGCAAAGCAACAAGAGCAAAGTGGGGAATGGCAGCCAAACAGCAATGCAGCCAGAGCAAAAGGGAGGAAGGGCGGCAAGCCACTTCATTCCCTACCTTACTTTGTAAACAGGCTACCCCCACCTAAGGGGCGTGTAGCTCTCACATAATCTCCATGCCCTCCTCTTCCAGGATATATACAAAGTAAGTACCCTGGCTTCCTGCTGAGTCACTTAGCCAAACCTCTAGACTCCCCAAGTTGACACAATGTATCAACCATAACAACAACCAAAAAAATAACAAAGGGGGCAGACTCATACTTCCAGATTTCAAAACTTACCACAAACCTACATTAAGCAAGACAATGTACTGGCATGCAGACAGACATAGACCAATGGGATAGAGATGAGAGCTCAGAAATAACACTCCCCCCCCCCCAGTTATGGTCAATTGATTTTCAAAGACAGAGCCAAGGTAATTCAGTGGGGACAAGGATGATCTTTCCGACATGTGAGGCTGGAACAATGGGATATCCAACACGCAAGAGAATGATGTTGGACCACTTTCCTCATAACATACCTAAAACCTGTTTCAATATGGACCAAATGACTGAGTGTGAGCCTAAGGCTGGGAGAAGCCAGGTTGCTGGGGCCAGAGGCTGGAGAGGGCTGGCTTGGCACCAGGCTGGGCTGTTGGGGTCTTCCACCGTGATCACCATCAGTCTTATTCTTCCGGGACTTCTGAGTGATGCATTCTCGGGTGACTCATAGAGACAGGAAAGTTCCCTAAAGATTTTCCATCTGTTCTCCAATTTATCTGCTTTGAAAGCCGGTAGGGGGTAGGGATATAGCTCAGTGGCACAAGTACCTGCCTGGCAAGTGCAAGGTCCTGAGTTCAATCCCAGGTACCAAAAAAAAAAAAAAAAAAGAAAAAGAAAAGAAAAAGAAAAAGAAAGCCGGTGGGAGTAGACCCAGGTTCAAACTTTTGGAGGACAATTTTGCAGTTAGTAACACCTTCCCTCAAGAACACAGAGTAGGAGTACCCTGCAATCCCTCCTTTGGCATCAGCCTTCCCAACCTGGAGCCTCTTGGAGTAGACAGAAGCAGGCATAAAATTGTTCATCTTGGAATTGTTTGTAGCAGGCTCTTCAGTGAATCAAGGCCCTAGTTCACCAACCTCTCTGTATCTCCTTTGTCAATGTCACTTTGCAGCTCAGTCTATCACAAGCAGAGTCGGTGTCCCACCTTCAGCTCTGGACTGGCCTCTTGATCAGCTTTGGTGGATGGCACGTGTGGAAGTGACTGTGTGCTGACAGCAGGTGTAGAACAGGGAGTCCTTTCATGCTTCCACTGAACTCTGGGAAACCTGCTCCCAGCACAAGGACAAGCCCAAGCTTGCTGCTGCAGGATGAATGACCACAAGGAAAGGGCTCAGCTTTCCAGGGGAGGCCTTCCTAGGCCAGCAGCTCCCACTATTTCTGGCCCCAGGCTTGTATGGAGCCTACCTGGGATCAACCCAGCCTGCCTGGCCTGCTACCACCCCCTGACTAGCAAGCTGTGAGCAGAAAACAGAAATGCCTCCCCACAACCCTAAGTTCTGGGGCTGTGGAGCAACCATTATTTATAGTCCCCCAAACTGAGCCCCAAACCAGAGACAGCCCAGCTGTGTATTGATGTGGGGCTGGAGGTATAAATGAGGACCAGTGGTGTTGTGGGACACCCTACAGCCGTTAACAATGAGATCGATGCTTAGGTACTGACCCGGACGATGGCCGTGATATATTGGTGAGGGAAATCCTAGTGGCTGATCAATATGTATGCCATGACCTCGTTTTGCTTTTTTAAAAAGTCTGTGTTGTAAGATCTACAGAGTAGATGCTCTTGGGGAAAGCTGGCACACAGCACACCATTCACTGGGATTGGCTCTAGGCAAGAGAGAATTTGATATTTTTTGTTTTCTTTCTTGTAATTTTTTTTTGAAAAATGAAGATTATTTGAAAGGAAAACACAGTTGGTGTTTTTAGTAACTATGTTTGTAGAAACCAAGGACCACTGCCTTCATGTGGATTCTCCAGCTCTCTCTCCTCTGCACTGACTGCCTGGATCTGCTCTCCTCCTGAGCCAAGGATACCCCCTATTTTAGCCACCTTTATATTGCTGGGAAAAAATACCTGCTGAACACAACATAAAGGAAAAAAAAGGTTTATTTTAGTTCACAGTTTCAGAGGGGTCAGTCCATGGTAAACTGGCTCCAAGGCAGAGACATCATGGTGGAAGGGCCTGAGGGAAAGAAAGCTGCTCACTTCATGGCAGAGAGGAAATAAAGAGGGTAAAAGTCAGACAGAGGGAAAGGGGCACTGCACAAGTGACCTCCTTCCTTCAACCAGGCTTCTCCTCCTAATATCCCATTCAGTTCCAGATGACTCCTAGATGAGGTTAGTGCCCTGTGATCTAATCACCTTTCCAACCTCCTCCTCTGGACACAGGACATTGTTTTCAAAGGACAATAGGGATATTTTTTATCTAAAACATAACACACATTCCCCCCAATACACACAACAAAAACCTGAACTCCCCCTCATAGACTCTCAATATGTTCTGTATTGTCATCATCATCATCATCATCATCATCATTATTTTGCAGTACAGGGACAGAATCCAGGGCCTTTGCACTAAGCTACTTCCCCAGCATTGATTTATTGATTGATTGCTTAACTGATTCATATAGAGTCTCACTAAATCACCAAGTTCTCAGGCTGTGCTGAAACTTACGACTCTCCTGCTTCAGCCTTCCAAAGTAATGAGACAGTTTGTGCCACCATGCCCAGCTCACCTTCCGTATTAGAAGAGGAAGAACTTTAAGGGTCAAGTTCCACCTTGTCTTGATACAGATACAGGGAACCTGAGGCACAGAGGGGACAGGGACATGGAGGTGTCCTGATGCCCTGCCCTGATTATTGAGAGCCCAGGGAACCCCACCCTGCAGGATCTCTACTGGGCTCCACTTCCCTTGTTGCAGCACTGGGGACAAGATTCACCTTTCTTGACGGGCTGGGAGAGAGAGTGGCAGGGCGAGAGCCAAAGAGGAGGAGGCCTGGGAACCAGTGGGCACCAGTGCCAGCCTCGGCCCAATGCTTCTGGCAGCAGCAGATAATAAGCAAGAATAATAGAGGAAAGAGAGCAAAATGTCACACGCGCTCAGTGCTATTAGCCACTGGAGAAGGGAAATATCACATAATTAGGCCGGGCCTTTGTTTGTCTTTGTGGAAGGGAGTGTGAGGGCCTGGCTGTGGGCAGGGGCTGCACCGCTGTGGGTGCTATTTTTGGGGGACAGTTGTGGGGAAGGAGAGGAGGATCTCAGGGCTGGGGCTGAGCACCCTGGGGTGGCCCACTCCCCGTGCTTGCCCTACTGGGACTCAAGGGGTGGAGGGAGTGGGGACAAGGAAAGGATGGCACTTGTTCCACTTGAAAACCAAGCCATGGGGCTCCGGAGTTCCTTGCTAAACCGCTCTGCTGTTGTTTGTTTATATTTCCCTCGTTATTACCCAAGTCACAGAAACACCCCGGTAATAGCTGTAAAATTACACACTCGCAGCTAATTCGGGGACGACTCTTGGCATCGCAGCCGAGTTTTAAGGAGAAATAAACAAGGCCTGAAATAAAAGTCGGCAGGAATACAAATCTGCAGCAACGAGGGGCCTCCCCCTTCCCCGTGGGCACCCGGCGCACATCGCTGTGCTGCGCACCAGACGCGTGCCAGGCCAGGCCAGGAGCCTGCAGACCCGCCTGCCCGTCCCTTCAACCCAGGGCGATGTGGAGGGGCCCTCCCTGTCCTACCTCCTGTACTCTGCAGACAGTGCATGTTCCTCCTCCTGCAGAGGAGGCTGAATGCCAGCTCATCCTCATCCCCATCCACCCATCCATCCACCCATCCATCCGTCCATCCATCTGTCCATCCACTCACTCATCCATCCATCCATTCATTCATTCATTCATTCATTTGTTCAGTCTACTACTTTGTGCCGGGCACTGCACAGTAGCAGTCAGTAAAATACAGACACTGGTCCTTTCTCAGGATGAATATCTGGTGCAGGACGTAGATACCAGAAAAATGCGTAGGAGAATAAAGATGCGGACCATCAGGATAAGTGCTCCATAGGAAAAGCACAGCACAGAAAGAAAACAGGGGACCTTTTGGATAGGCTAGAGTTTGGTAAAGAAGTGTTTATGGGAAAGAAAGGCCTGAGCTGAAGCCTGAAGTAGGCATTTTCTGGGTGCAGAGCAAGGGGGAGAGCAGGAGCCAAGGGCCTGAGACAAGGCGGTTGGGGAGGCAGGGCTGGGTGTGGTGTGACCCAGGCTGGAGCAACATGCAGCTGTGTCAGCCCCCATGCGGGCCACAGACACCAAGATCCGAAAGAAGGGGTGAGGCGGGGAGACATGACTTCCTCTGAGTGGCTGGGAGGAGTTGGAGGAGGGAGAGGGACCAAGGAGGCTGCCACAGTCATCCCAGGGCAAGGACAGAGTCTTGGGAAATGACAGTGGTAGTGCAACAGGGAGAACTGAAGGGCTGAGGAGCACCCCAAAACAGGCAGGAGTTGGATCTGGGGTGAGTGAGAAAGACTGGGCCCAGGGGCTGATGAATGAAGATGAATTTCGGAGAGGTTGGGGAGGGGCAGGTTGGGGCACACAAAGGCCTTCAAAAAGCAGCCGTGGGGCTGGGGATTTAGCTCAGCGGCAAAAGCGCCTGCCTGGCAAGCGCAAGGTCGTGAGTTCAGTTTCCGGTACTGGAGAAAAACCAAAAAAAAAAAAAAAAAAAAAAAAAAAAAGCAGCCGTAAGCCAAAACACTGCATGGTCCCTGCCCCCAGCCAGTCTCCCCAGGCAGGGCCCACATTACATCTTCCTCATTGCCCAACTACATCTATGATTCTTTTTTTTTTTTTTGGTACTGGGAATCGAACTCAGGACCTTGCTCTTGCCAGGCAGGCGCTTGTGCCGCTGAGCTACATC